GGCATTGCTGCAGTGGTTGGAGCAGCAGCGGCAGGGTCTGCGGCGCAGCTCTCACGCGCATCCGCGATTGGCTCTGAGCCTTTGAAGGCTGGAAGCACAAAGGGGTCGACCTGAAGTGGTTCTATGAGGGTCGGAGAACAAGTATATAAGAAGGTCAAAGTTCGACCATGCAAACAGCCGGTGTAGCCGCACGGCTGCTAATTCGAGCTTCTGTACTTAGTCCTGCTGGGATTGTTGATGGTGATTCAAACTTGCAACGTAGAGAAGGAAAAGACAAGCCGGGGCAAGGACACGGAATTGAATATGTGGGACCAAATTGTTTGTTTTTGATTGATGCGCATAAAAGGATTGGACGGTCTCATGATCACTTTGGCCATTGAAAATCCAGGATTGGCAAGAAGCCTCGTGCGTGCCAGGATGCAGATGGGCGAAATTTCTTTGGCCAGCAACGTTGGACTGGAAGGACAGGCCGTTGGGCGCTTCAGCTGTCCTTGTGACCCCCCCCACCCACACAGTATCACTTGACCGCAAGAGTGCGTTGAAGAAAGATAAGACATAGCTGACATTACGCAAGATGTGTTTGGATAAAGTTTATGGAACCAACTCAGAACTAAGCACAGTCACCGTATCAGCTGGTTTCTTCTTTGCTTGCAAGGCTTGTGCCCACCAAACGAGGTTTCATCTGGTGTTGTTGCCAGGACCATTGCTGTAGCTCTTGTTTGGATCGTGCTGCTGGGCTACTCCTTCTTCTTGGCGCCAGGAAAAAGTCCCGACGCCCGAGAGGCAGACCAGGCAAGTGGGATTCAGCTGTACTGCAGGAGAAGTCTTACAAGTGTTCCGCGGACTCCTACTCGTACTCTAACTAGAACCCCATTAGAGCCAGCAATGAGGGCGTACTGCTTCAATCAACAGCTGACAAGAAGGAGAGTTGGATGGATTCTATTTGAGACTCGCTCTGCCATGGGAGGTCCTGTTGAACCAAGTCCTCTCAACACCTTTTGACGGCTCCGTCAGCCCGCTCTTCGTTTGCATCTTCAACATGCTAGGCCAGGAAGCAATGGGACAGCCATGACGGTCATGGATGGGGCGTGGGCTTCACACAAGTTCGATGGCCTTCGAGAATGGTGCAGATTTGCGATGACATACACACCATTGCAATTTTTTCACGCTTGGACAATTTGTTTTGTGAGGCATCTGGCCAGTGATCTATTCGGCGACCTTGCTGCCGGGTGCGGATCGCCAAGCACCAGTGCCTGCCTATCCGTTTCTTGGCAGACCTGAAGTGGCTGTTTTATGGATTCTCGGATGGTATTAATTGATGAGGTGCTCCAGATCCCAGTATGCTTGTTCGTGACAGTGATCACCGGTGTTGTTGGTTGTTTTTTGGATCCATTCGTTCTCGCCTATGGGGTTCTCAAGATCAATTGAGAACTTTTGCAAAGCACAGGGTGGCACATGACAATCACGACGGTGGTGGGAAAACACATTGCTTGCACAAATCACACTCAGTCAAAGTGCAAGTGATTATTTTCTCACAGATCCCGCTCGGCGTGGTTTGATGCGATCACTTGGACGCAAGACCAGAGTCTCAGCTGTTGCAGCTTCTGCGGCACCATCACACTCAGCTGTTGCAGTTGCAATTTTTGTGATAGTTGGGTTGCATAAGCTGTTCAATTGCAAAAGTGTATCAGAACACATCAGCCAAGCATAAACAATCAACATGGTCTCCTCCCAGCTTCTTATGATGCTGTAAGGTTTGTTTTTGCATCCTTTTTCCTGGGAGCCTTTGCACTCAGCCCGTACTTGGCACTACGTGAGTATCGAGGCACAGCAGGAGCCGGGGAGTTTTCGCAGAACTGTCGACACCAAAGACTAACCGCACCCAAAAGATCCAATCCTCGATGCAACTTGCAGGGTTTGCTGTCGGATTGACGTATGCAGGTGTTCGGAATGCACTAAATGTAGAGAGTTCCCGAGGAGAGTCGGGAAGCTACTAGTAGCTCCCGGCATTACTACTAGGAACAAGAAGCTACTAGAAACACAGGGCATCGCTACTAGGAGCAAGGACGCTACTAGTAGCTCCTGACATACCAGGAGAGTCGGGAAGCTTGGATTGGTTCACAGCCAATGTCTTGGAGAGTCGTTTCACTGCTCTCCTGCTCCTGGCGGGGGCGGTGTACTTGGCCTTATTTGCACTGGGTGCCCTGGCTGCTTTCAAGCTGAGTCTAAGGCCTTGTCACTTGTTTTGAGTATTGTGAGGCCCCGAGAGTCCTGACTTGAGGAAATGGTGCAATTGGAGCAGTTGCGCCGTCTGCTGCCTGGGTCCAATTCCTGCCCGTTTTTGCAAGCCCCTGGTCTCCAAGTCAGCTCTGCTCTCTTTAGCTGACAACTTAGAATGTCACGCGTGATTTGGCTGGATCAGCCTTTGAGTGGTGTTGAATCTCACACCTCATACAGAGATGAGCCATAGTCAAGACCATCCCGAAGCAGATTAATTTGGGGAGTCGCTAGATTCGGCCGTGGGCCAGACACCTTGCCCAGACATATTCTAGTTTTCATGTCGTATTTGGCGCAGGCCTTGTGTGTGTTTGACTCTTTTGACCCAGAACTTGTGAGAACCATTTGTGTTGATGTTCTCCAGGATGGTTTTGACTTGGCAGACGTTCGATGTTGATGCAACCGAGGTAGCCTCACAGCCCATGTGTCCAGTATTGATTTCATGGCGGCTTGATAGCAAACACAGAGCAACCATCCTGCAAGAGAAGCGATTTGGGCTAGGTTCCTTGAGCCCTGAACGACTCAAGGTTCTTTGGATGTTTTTCAGCCCAGTCCTGCTAGAGGATGGCCGACGTCGAGGCTAGCAGGACATGTTTAGCATTCGTGAAAGAGAGCGATAGAGAGAGAGAGAGAGAGGGAGGCAGACTTGGCCAATTGGACTTTGTCACGTCGGGTGAATTCGGGTGATAGTTTCTCCAGGTGTGTTTCTTGGACACCCAGATTCATGGGATGCTGCTGACAAGGCCAGGCAGACCGACCCGACAAATTCAACGTTTGACCCAAACCTACGTGCGGAACTTTCACAGCAAAGGGACACATGGTGCTTCCAAGCTCACTGGCGTCACATCCTTGAGGGCAGATGTCACTAGATTCTCTAGATGAAGTCATGAATTCACACGCACCCGGAAGGCACGGTTTGCCTTCTGTGCGGCAGTCCCAGTCTTTGGTGGGCTGGTTTGGTTGCTGAGCCGACCACCTCTCCCAGATCAGAAGCAGTGAAAGCACAGGCCTTTGCATGCAGCGACGCGTGTGAAGGCTTGACAGGCAGCACGCTACCCGGTTACCCAAAAGCCATGTCTTGCATGCGTTGACATTCAGGTGTTTCAGGCGCCTCCAATTTTCGGCCCTGGAGTTTCACTGGCCAAGACTGTGCCAGCGATAATCGGTTGAAAGAAACTGAGCGCCTCGAAGATGAACCGCTTTGGCTTTTGTGGTCCTATATGCGCTGCCCGTCAAACACGTTGCTCCTAGGAAGCCACCAACGAATCCTCCACCCCTACATCTTTACGGACACCAAAGACCTCGATGTGAGAGGGGCTACCAAGACTAGCATGAATAGGGTAAGGCTGATGAAGCAAAATGCTTTCGCTTGGCAAAACGCCTTTGCTATCCTTTGCTTAAGTATTGATTTTACTTATTTGAAGGAGGGTGGCAGTCTATTTGCCACACCTTAATTTGGGCAAGCAATGAGACTTCTCTGCTTTCCAGAGGCAATTATGAGAGCTGAAGGAGGGGAATGCATCGTCTCGATACCAAGTACAAATTTGCCAGGAGCAAGGAATGTGCCTTTCAAGCTGCACATCCACCTTCGTCAGACTCTTTGCCATGCAAGAATTAAAGTCGTTATTGGTGAGTAGGGCAGCTGAAGCAACAACGGAGGTGGGGTGAAGGACAGGCGGTCAATGCGAAGATCTGAGCGTGAGTATATCGTGAAGCGATACGAAGGCCGCACCTCCAAGCTGCAAGACACATGCCTTGCGAGAAAAGTGCCCCAAAGTCGGGCTCTGGCCAGCCAGGGCCTTTTTCTCGTTCTCCTCTCTCTCTCTCTCTCCAAGCTGACGTGGATACGGCGTGTAACTAACTTGCCTTTCTTGTGGATTCTGTAGGCGCATACCGTAGATTGTTTGAACTTCGGCATGCTTCACTGAGGCTCGCAGAGTCCAGTGAAACGATGGATGAACTGCGGGTTGCAGAGATCTCAGTGTGGCCTTGCAGCCTTTTTTCAATGTGCAATTGAGCTTGAACAGCATCTGACCCGTGCTCATCCAATGCATGATCTTGGGCGCTTGTGGCTGGAAGGCCCAGCTCTTCGGTGGTTTGCTTGGCCAAGTGCCGGATGGGGCACTGCGGCAGCAGTGCCTTGTCTCCAATGTAGGTGAGAACTTAGACTGAAACCATGACACGGCTACTGTATGTCTAAGAGCAGCGCTGCCATTGCCAGGTTTGAGCAGCACTTGAAAGGCATGTCGCGCAAAAAGGCGGGTTTTGAACTCGAAACTTCTCAGACTCTGAGAGTTGGGTGCGGCATATCATTTCCTGCTCAGGGAGCACCTCATCCACTTTCGCCTCGAACGCCTTCGTCTCCAAGCTGCTCACTTGCCAAAGCTGCGCCATACAATGCCATACATGTCCAATCTCTTTCTTTACCAGATCTGAGGTTCATGGGGTAGCATTTGATGGTTTCTTTCTTATCCGAGGCCGCCGCCCCAAGCCCCACTTGCAAGACGAGCTGGAGGTGCTTGATTGGTGTTTATTGCATGTTGATGGAAGTAGCGATGGCCTCCAACCTAATAGCGATGGTCTAGAGCATAGATTGGAAGCTTCAGGCTCTCGAGGCTTGAGAATCTGCACTTGCATTGCATCTTCACATTTCTAAGCTTTTGCTCAAAAGGGCGGCCTGCGACGTGCGTTTCCTCAGTTAGCCTGTTGCCTTACTCGCCGTGATGGACACTTCAGATTCAAATGTTGTACCTCAACCCCTCCAACTACTCCTAGAGCAAGCTTCTGCCAAATCTCCCCAGAAGATAGCCATTCGAGTGGAAGGGGTCGAACTGAGCTACTTCAAGCTACATCACTGGGTGAGAAACGTGGCGGCCGCTTTGGTCAGCTCTGGGATTGAGAAGACCGATCGAGTTGCTTGGCTGTTGCCCAACTGCCTCGAGGCTCTCGCTTTAACGTGCGCTTGTTATTGCGTAGGTGCAGTATCAGTACCTATCAATGTCCGCTACTCGCCAAAGGAAGTGTCATACATGGTTGAGAAGGTGAAGGCCAAAATGCTTTTTCTGCAACCTGATGCCTTGCATGTCATCCCGGATTTGTCTCTGATGCTCGAGGTGGTGACAGTGGGCTCCGAGATGGTCCATCCTCATACGAGCTGGAGTGATTTTGAGCAACGACAAGGGCCAATAACTGTCCGACCGGTGCAATCAAGCCATCCTGCCTTGATCCTCTTTACTTCAGGGTCTACTGGCCATCCAAAAGGTGTCCTCCATTCTCTTGGAGGCTGCTGGGCAGCTATCAACACTTCGGCCAAGGCCTTAGGACTGGGTAACGAGGACGTGGTGCTCGTTGGAAAGCCTATAACCCATGCGGGTGGACTTCAAACACAGCTCCTCCCAGCTTTGATGGTTGGAGGAGAGGTGGTGCTTGCGATGACCCCACCACCAGCACAGGCTGTAGAGCTGATCCAACGATTTTGTGTGACAAGCTATGCCATGCTCGTGAGTTCTTTGCTAGATTTTGTCGAGCATTTGGAAAGAAGCCAGGAGACCCTGACCAGCTTGCGGAGGGTTGTTGGCTCTGGAGACTGTGTGCCGTTGGAGCTCCAAAGTAGGTTTCTCCAGTTGTTTGGCAGGCCAGTCTTAGAGGGCTGTGGCATCACTGAAATTGGAGGCTACTTTGCAATGCAGCCCATCGGGAAAGAAAAGCCGGGATCGATTGGACTCCCAACCGCTGGCACAGAGGTGCGACTGGTGGATGATGAGGGCAATGATGTTCCCTCAGGTTTTCCTGGAGAGGTGCTGTTGAGGACCCCTTCAGCAGCACTTGGCTATTGGGATGACCCTCATGCATCAGCCGAATTGTTCCAGGATGGTTGGTTGAGAACAGGTGATGTTGCCCAGCGAGATGAAGACGGCTACATCTGGTTTATCGGACGCCGCAAGCTCATCATCATACGCAGGGGCTCCAACATTGCGCCTGCTGCAGTTGAGAGAGTTTTGGTGATGCATCCTCAAGTGCGTTCCTCAGTTGTAGTAGGAGTGCCAGACAAGGATGATGGTCAGGTGCCTGTTGCTTGGATTGTGGCACAGGATTCCCAGCATCCTCCAACACAGGCAATGCTTGAAGAGCATGTGTCCAAACACTTGGCTGTCTATGAGCGTCCAGTGCACTATTGGTTTCGGGCGGAATTGCCGCTCAACAGCGTTGGAAAATTCGACCGAGCATTTTTGCAGAACGAGGCCAAGCATAAGCAGCAATGGACGTGCTCACAGTTGGCAGGTGCATAAGCTTCGGCACCAAAGCCTGTACAGTATGGCAACTGCGGCTGCAACATAATTAATTGAATAGCGAGGTTTCTATCCTGCTCACCTTCTCCTACGCATCAGATGTATGCGAGGAAGAACAAAGAACAGATCCCTGTGGCTGTTTGTACAGACCCTTTGTATATGTCATCTTGCAATCATTAGCAGCCTCCGCTCGGATCGATTTGCACAGTATGCTTTGCTACAAGTTTCGGGAAGGATGCCGACGCTCATTAGAAACACCCACGTCGCCGAAGGGATGCCAGGTTGTGCTCAACCCATCCCTGAATTGAAAGGATGCAGAGCCGATGCCTTCGGAAGCTGGACAAGTCACAAGAACATACGAACACCATAGAAACGGCCGTCAATGTGTCAGGATTTGCGGACCAGGTTGGGAGGCGGAGAAGAGGAGGCGGAGGACAGTTTGCGTGAACACTTCTCTCCATTTTTCTCAAATGTTTGAACTCTTTGACCTTGGGTATGTTATGCATTGAGATGCGGCCTACGGATGCCTGGGCCAGGACAAGGAGGCCATTGCCAAGAAAGTGCTGAAGCAACTCGGCTGGTCTGTGACATGTTGGAGTCTTGCGAGCCCAACCCCGGGGGAACACTTGAGTTACTGTATAAAATGCATTTTGAATCAAGTCTGTTGGTTGCAAGGCTCCTCATCCATGCATTTTCCAACAACGCCAGTTTGGCTCTTAGCGTCTCCATTGTTTCTTAGCATGCGGTTGTGGACTGAAATGTGCCCATCCAAAGGCCTGAGAAAAGACATTGTTCGGCAAACTGCTGACATGTAATGCACGCGAAGAAGATTTCCCGGATTCTTCAGTATGGAATTTGTTTTCAACAGTATGACGATCGGATTATCTAAGCGCAGGTGGCACAAAACAAAGCCGCCACCCAGGAAACATGAAGTTTGGCATAGATTTCCACTACGTTTCCATACAGAAGGTTGTGCAGAGAAATGATGGAAAAGTCAATCCGGATGACGGAAAGTTGCCATGGCATGCTTTGGTGGTCTAGCGCCACAGCCGTTTAGTTTTCACTCTGTGTCCACCAGGCAAGGCTTTACGACGACGTGCAGAAAACTTGAAGCCCAGAAGCGTTGCCCAGGCTGCCGTTTAAAGAGCCACACTCCACGCCCATGAACACTTTGCAGAGGAAACCTTGTGCCTTGTGTGTGTAGTGTTTTCTTGACAGAGGGTGCTTCTAGCATTCTGCAGAATCCACATGGCACATCGGTGTATATATATATATAATTATACTACTTATGTATCTATACCAATTTTCCGTATTATTCGCACACAGCACACACACGCATGTCACACACACATATGTCACACACACATATATATATATATATATTGCACTGAGTAATGCCTCGACTCTACTGAGTAGAGCTACGATGATATGTCCCCAAAACTCTTCGAAGCTGTTTGGCTGAGGGAGCAACTGCTTCACCCCCCCGTCACCCCAATGTGGGTGGCGGGGGGTGTTGATAGAGAAAGGTGGTATGGGCACCGCTTCGAGCCATCCGTGTGCCATCCGTGATGGTGAAGGGCACGCTCAGGGAACGATCATCCTGGAGGTCGCGGCAGCCCTATCCACAGATGGTCAAGGTCATTGGGTGACCGCCAAGTTTGTGGGAGCTAGCGATTCCCACATGCAGTGGTGGATGACGGAAGGTGAGGGCAAAAAGTTGGCAGCAAAATGCGCTTACCACGTTTGTGAAGAGTCATCACACGACTGCAAAGTGACTCGACGAGGAGCCTCTATCCACGTGGAGAAGTTCCGGGTCCTGACGCAGAAGGAGATCAACAGTGGAGTTCCTGCTTGGGCCTTCGAGAAAGAGTATGGGGAAGACCTTTCTAGTAGAGTTTCTGAAGAAGAAGGACATGGAGCCCAGGCCCAAAGAAGCAAAGGCTGCGTTACCCTGGGTAGACCCAGGCGTAGAAGCTTCAGAGGATGAGGAAGAGGATCCGGGGAAGGAAGGCCTCAAGGCCAAACTCCTTAAGGCCCGTGACGAGGTGAAGAAGCTGGAGCGAGAGTTGACCGGAAAGAAGGTCAGCACCAAGGCAGCGGGATCTAAGGACAAGAAGGAAAAGGTCAAGAAGAAGAAGCCAACGCCCGAGGGTAAGGAGAAGAAGAAGCGAAAGAGGGCTAAGGAGTCACCCTCCTCAGGAGGTGAAAAGAAGAAGAAGAAGAAGAAGAAGAAGGCCTCCAGGGCAGACGACGAAGCAGCAAAGGAGGCGCGTATGGCAAAGGGGAAGAAGAAGGCCATCGACGAGTCCTCCTCGTCCAGTGATGACGAGGATGAAGGTCTGTTTGGGGAATGCCCAGAGGAGAAGGTTACCGCTGGTGCCAAGAAGGGCCGGTGTGATCGAGGGCCGTTTGGAGGTGGAGACTTAGTGAGATTCCAAGGGGAATCGTCCAGTGAGTTGGAGGCAGTTTTTCGCGAAGCCCCCGCAGTCCCGAAGGCATCAAACCAGCTGAAGTTGATGCAGTACGCCAAAAGAACACCGGGCCGCCTGGCTTCAAGGCTCCTCTTGAAGATGCAGGTCGAGGGAGCCCAGGGGGCTGCGGGGCGAATCCAGCCGATCTAGGAGAACGGACTCCACCAGCGGCCGTCCACTACTTCCATACGATGATCGTGCCGCAATTGGGCCAGCGCTTGAATCTGGGAGCCCACAGGGAGATGAGGACATTGTGTACAGCCCTGGACCTGTTAGCAAGAAAGCTGCCAGCCCACGCAGCAGACCTGCTGGGGCAGCGTCTGAAGGCGATCGAGAAGAGTTGCCACGGCCATTGGCAGGCAGCGCTGGAGCTCCTGGGGCCGGACTCGGGCGGTGTCCTGGAGAGGGGCGAAGAGGTGTTCATGAACAGGGAACACCTCCTGGAGCTCAAGCTGAAGGGCTACAACCCCCCGAGAGGGGGCGAGGGCGGAAAAGGAAGTCAAGAGAAGGGCGCCCGAAAAGGGAAAGAGAGAGGAAAAGGCAAAGGAGGCGAAAAGGAGAGAGAGAAGAAGGACTAGCAGATGAGGCTGTCACCAGTGGGCCTGCATGTCCCCCTGAGACAGCAGATGCCGGAGGCCTGAAGCGCAGTGTTGAACGGTCTCCAGTTGAGCTGTTCGGTGCTTTGTGGAGGGCTTTTGAGGGCAAGGATACGCCGTTGTGTCGCCTGGCGCGATCGACGAGCTGCTGCCCATTAACCCACAAGCAGTGTTGGCCTACCTGCATTCCTCAGGGGAGATGAAGGCTCAAGGCGTGGCAGGAATGGTTTGCGCTTTGAACTACCTGGCAAAGTCGCAAGGGTATGGCGGATGGGTGGCGCATGTCTATATGAAGGAGCTCACCCAGGCCCAGAAGTTGACGGTGGATCATCTGAGACGAGCCTTGGACTATGTCGAAGAGCGAAAGCTGAGGTGTGGGCGCTCTGAGGAGACGGCGCGACATTTAGCAGCGGTGCGCTTTGCTTACCAGGGAGTGCCCGTGGTGGTGATGGAAGATATCCGAGCAGAGAAGGTGATCGCGGCTTGGCCGAAGGTGGGTCAAGCAGCCGTCCAGGATAATGCGTTGACCTTCGTGCCAGAGGAATTGAGGGCAAAGTTGCTGGATCCAGTGCCTTGCCTTGAGCCTGTACATGCGTGGCCCCAAGAGCCTCACAAATCACGAGTGAGGGCCACAGACGATGAGTGGAACAAAGATGTTGGGGCCGCGTATGAGCGTGGCTTGATGGTGGCTGATGAGTTGGATGAGGGGTTCAAAGATCAGAAAGGCCGACCAGTCCTCAACGGAGCGGGAGCTGTGAAGAAAGAAAAGAAGGTAGATGGAAAGGTGGTGGGCACGCAGCGCTTTATTAGCAATCTGATCCTGAGCAACATGTTTCAAGACCGCCTAGAAGGCGACGGCAAACTGCTTCCCTACCTGGGACAGCTCACCCTCCTGCAACAGGAGGAGGAAGAAGTTTGGTTGGGGGATTCAGAGGATTTCACGAGCTGCTTCAACCTCTTCCGCCTACCCCCTGACTGGCACAAGTTCATGGCATCTGAGTAGCCTGCGGATGCAGCGCTGCTGGGGGGGGTGGCAGGAAAGATGGTGTACCCTGCAATGGCTGTTTTACCCATGGGCTGGGTCAGCAGTGTGGCAGTGGGTCAGAGCATTGTGAGGTCCTTGGTCTTCAAAGAGGCCGAGATCCTCAAGGGTCGGAGTGCCAAGACCCAGCTTCTGCCTGCTGACGAAGACCTGACGGTGATCTACCTGGATTCGTACGACCAGTTGAGAAGGTTCACGCAGGGCTGTGAGGAAGTCGTGAAGGCAGAGATGTCCGAGAGGCACAAGCGCTTTCTTAAGGTTTGCGAGAAGCTGGCCCTGCCGCTGAACGACGGCAGTGGCTTCGACCTTGGGAGCCCTTCAAGGTGGAGTGCTTGACGGTGAAGAAGGCCGCTTTGGCCTTTCAGTTCAGAAGATGGTTGAAGTGATCGCCTCAGGAAGCACCTTGTTGGCCAAGGAGAAGTGGTCCGAAGGCGAGTTGAGGCACTTTGTTGGCAAGGCGACCTTCGGATGTTGCTTCAGGCGGCCGCTTTTCGCTATCCTGGAAAGCGTGTTCGAGGAGATCAATGTGAGGGCCAGCCAGAACGACCGTGAGGTGCCCCGGCCAGGCGCCTGGGACGAGGTGGCCATCAGGGTGCTGCTCACCCCTCTCATGTACTCGTACTTGAAGGCAAGAATCGACCCAGAAGTGTCGGTCACAGATGCCTCGCCATCTGGTGGAGGAGCGGCGACAGCCGTAGAGTTTCAGTCAGCTCCATGCACCATTGACGTTGCAGGGCCGATGGCCGAAAGCCTGGCTTTGAAGGAGAGCTTTATGGTGAAGGGCCAGGAAAAGGAGCACTTGGCTACGTTGCTGCGGCAGGCTACTAACCGAGGTTCAGATGTGAGATCGTTCCTCGAGGTGGATGGAGAGATGCATGAGCAACCTTTTTT